TGGGATTACAGGCACGCACCACCATGCCCAGCTAATTTTTGTATTTGTAGTAGAGACGGGGTTTCACCATGTTGACCAGGATGGTCTCGATCTCTTGACCTCGTGATCCACCCCCCTCGGCCTCCCAAAGTGCTGGGATTACAGGCTTGAGCCACCGCATCCGGCCTGAGTTTTCTTAATTTAGCACGCACTGAAGACTGTGGTTGTGGATGGAGCATTCTGTTATTAACATCACTCAAGAACTAAGCCTTTGAATGTTTAAAAAATGTAATGATTGGGAAGTCAAGGTGGGTAAATCACCTAAGATCAGGAGTTCGAGACTAGCCTGACCAACATAGTGAAACCCCATCTCTACTAAAAATACAAAATGAGACCAGCGTGGTGGTGCATGCCTGTAATCCCAGCTACTTGTGGGGCTGAGGCATGAGAATCGCTTGAACTCGGGTGGTGGAGGTTGCAGCAAGCCAAGATGCATCATTGCACTGCAGCCTGGGTGACAAGAGCCAAACTCTGGCTCAAAAAAAAAAAAAAAGTAATGATACATTTTATTTCACCATTCATTGATACACTACCAAACTGGCAAAATAAATTAAGACAGTTTAGAAAGTGACAGAAGCATTAATTAAAGAAGAGAGAAAAAAGAAATTCGGCCGGGCGCGGTGGCTCAAGCCTGTAATCCCAGCACTTTGGGAGGCCAAGGCGGGTGGATCACGAGGTTGAGAGATCGAGACCATCCTGGTCAACATAGTGAAACCCCGTCTCTACTAAAAATACAAAAAACTAGCTGGGCGTGGTGGCGCGTGCCTGTAATCCCAGCTACTCAGGAGGCTGAGGTAGGAGAATTGCCTGAGCCCAGGAGGCGGAGGTTGCAGTGAGCCGAGATCGCGCCATTGCACTCCAGCCTGGGTAACAAGAGCGAAACACCGTCTCAAAAAAAAAAAAAAAAAAAAAAAAAAAAATGAAATTCAAGGGTGGAGATCAAACACTAACATTGAACCCAGGAACTGCCAGCTAAATCTGCAGAAGCTATTTGGGGTATTTTTTGGTCACTTGCCGTGTGACAAAAGTGTCCTTCTTTTGTGAATTTATTGGTTTGGCTAAAGTTCACTGTTACACTGCCATAGAACAAATAAAAGCAGTCTCAGGAGGAAATAATTCATGTAAGTTTCTGTTTGTTAGAAAATAGAGGAGGCCCTTTACTCAATGCCCCAAATGTGAAAGAAGGGCTATAAATACATATATTCTGTACATATATCTTACCAGCTGAGAGACGTAATGGCATGATTGTGTACAGCAGCCTGACATGAACAAATCTTTTTCTGTAGTTGTATGCCAAAACCAAGGTCAAGTGTCAATGTTATCTGCTTGGACTTTGGAAAAAGTTCAGCAAAGAGAGACACATCTTCTTTAGAGGCCTGAGACATGTCTGCAAATTATGTTTATGCAAATTTAATGTTAGTGTTTCATATTAATCTAAGGAGAAAACAAGGGGCTTTGCAGAAATGAAATCCCTTTTGATTGATGTCTGAGTCTCAGAGCCTGAAGCTTTTATCAACACTGATTTATAAAAAGAAATTATACAATTTTTAAAGGCTAGGAAAAGAGACGCTCCCTAGAATTTAGACAAATTTTCTCTAAAACCATCTGGCATAGTCTAGTGCAGGATTGAACTGTGTGTGGGGCCAATATTCAATATTTCCCAGGAGCTGTACTGTAACGTTGTAAGCTATGTCTTCCGTATGTAAGTAAAGCTTTTGTTCGCTTGTTTGTTCCGATACATGGCATGTTTACTCAGCAGGTTCTTCTTCTTTTCCCTTTCCCTTGCCGATTTTGGTTATTTGCTGAACACACCCACCCACCCACCCACCACACACACACACACACACACACAGACACACACACACACGAGGTGCTTTGAAAAAGCCTCTCCTGACCTGCAGCGGTGGCTCATGTCTGTAAATCCTAGCACTTTGGGAGGCCGAGGCAGATGGACCACGATGTCAGGAGTTCAAGACCAGCCTGGCCAATATGGTGAAACCCCCTCTCTACTAAGAACACAAAAATTAGCCGAGTGTGGTGGCAGGTGCTTGTAATCCCAGCTACTTGGTAGGCTGAGGTAGATAATTGCCTGAACCCGGAGGCACAGGTTGCAGTGAGCTAAGATCGTGCCACTGCACTCCAGCGTCTGAGACAGAGTGAGACTCAGTCTCAAAAACAAAACAAAACAGAAAAAAGAAAAGAAAGAAAAAGCCTCTTCCAAATTCTAAGGTAGGTCTACATTCCCCATGCTGTAGAAATAACCAGTGGTATCCCCGGGGAGAAGCCTTGGCTCAAATTCTCCTTCCCCTCAATGGCCAATGAGTAGATACTGTAACTGAAAACTAGAAAAATTAAAAATAGGGCAATAGTCTTAACAGAAAATATAGGAAGAGTAATATTGGACATGAAAACAGGCACTGGAACAACTCAAATGCTCAGGTTTTGACAGAACTTCTCTAGTTGTGGATAGTTGGTTTACACTTTTATTTTAGTAAAATGAGTATGTATACTGCAAAATGTTTATAAGTAAACAATAAAAAGGGGAAGTGCTTGCACTGCAATGAATCAAAGTCATGATACTGTGAAAGGAGGGTCTATTTTGAGAGAGGAATGGTCTTTCGAGGACAGGAACAGAGGCCTTAGTGGATAGTAAAAGCACTGGCTGTTTTTCCTAGGTACTAGGGAAAGATGCTGAAAGTGAGCAGTGCGGTTACTACCTTCCATCCAGCCCAAGCATTCCCCTTTTTCCTTTTCAGGTCTTTGCTGATGTACAGAATAAGTTGGCCCCTTTCCTTAAATCTCCTCAGATTTGTCCCATAATGACCAGAGGAATAAAGAAGGAAAATTGGTAAAAATATTGCCAAGAACAAATAGGTAGACTCTGAGAAAGCGTGAAGTAGGAAGCTCACAAAGTACTTACAGTATGCAACCAGATTGGAGAAGACTCCATAGTATCTTGGCTGCTGGGAATTGGAGATGAAGCTCTGAGGACATTTAAATCAAGCTGACTTGAATTAGAGAAAATACAGGATCTCTGAAGGGAAACTGCCCTGAACATGGTTGTATAAATAGTTGGATGCCCTAGGGAAACTAGTGCTCCGTGAATGGCCCCAATTTGGAGTATTGGAGAACACCGTCAGATATTAACAACTATAAAGAATTGTATCCAGGAAGTTGGAAAGAAATGTGACTGTGAGTTCGTATCTACTTTGTTAAAGAGACAGTCCTGGGTCTCCAAGCACCTGGAAGATCTGCTTCTCACTGAAATGCAAAGAACTGGTTTCTAAAATCTATTTCCAAAATGTGTATTTTTCTCTGAAGGTTTTTATATATAAACAGTTCAGAACTTCTGGTAGGGAAATTGCTAAACAATTGGCTAATGAGAAAGAGATTTAGGAGCCAGTTTTTGATGGGAAATCATCCAAATTGGATGCAGACAAAGAGTTCCGTCCTGGATTGTGGTTTTGGCCTATCAGTGGAAGACAGCCACAAATTACTATTAGTAAATTACTGAAATTACAAAACAATGAGATTGATGCAGCAGCAAAAATAGTTTTTTACAAAGTGGCTTCTAGGGCAAAACGTACCAAGTACTGGATTGGTTTGTATGTCGTATGAAGTTCAAGCCATAGAGCTCTTATGATAAAAATGAAACTCTTACCACTGACATTCTAATGAATAAAAAACTGGGTCCGAGATGTATGAGGCACATCCGTGTGGATCGGTTAGCCGATGTATGACAAAATAAAAATCCTCATTTCCCACATGGGTGCTCTGAAGACCTACGATGGATAATTCACAGTACAGCACTGATACTGATGAGCCGACCAGACCAGTGTGGCTATCTCCGACACGTTAGACACCCTGGAGGTATATATGCACACAAAGGGGACAATGTAGGAGACATTGCCTTTATCTGAGCATGAATGAGCCCACGGTGTTGTGGCAGCAGTCTGCACGCCTATTTGACTAGCTCATGAGTATGAGGTTTGAAAACAAAGCAAACTGTCTCTTATGCCAGGTATACTGCTGTGCCTAAGGCACTACCCACTTAAGACAGAAGGTTCCTCTGTTGTTGACAGTAATATGCAGGTTATAAGGCAATAAAAGTAGCCACCTCAGAATCCGTAATTGGTGTTTTCCTCAAGAAGTTGTGCAGAGAAATATCCAGTGCCTCAGACCCCAAGTGTAGGTCCTGATCTGATTATAAAAATGACTTCCCCCTTTCCTGCCAACCCAAGCACGAAAAGATAAAGGGTGAATTAATCTCATTTCCCAGCCCAGGAGTCACTAACCTTTAGTTTTCACTCAATGACCAATGACCTTATTACAAGCATTTATCTTCTCAATAGCCATACCCCTTATTGTGTTGTGTCCCATATGCAAGATTCATGAGGAACAAAACCAAGAGCTGTGTTTATTAAGATGATGGATGGAGTACAGATAAGAGTCTAGTCAAGGCTGGGCACAGTGGTTCACACCTGTAATCCCAGCACTTTGGGAGCCTGAGATGGGATGATCCCTTGAGCCTGCGAGTTTCAGGCTGCAGTGAACCATGTCTGCGCCACTGCACTAGTGCCTGGGTGACAGAGTGAGACTCAAAGAAAAAAAAAAAAAAAAAAAAAAGGGTCTTTTCAACATATGGTCTGAATCCCCAGGCATATTTGTAATTTGGCCATGCTCAACATGATGGGACCTGATGGAATACAGTAAGTCCTCACTTAACATTGTCCACTGGTTCTTGGAAATTGTGATTTTAAGTGCAATAACACCTAGCTAAATGAATTTTTCCCCTCACCAATGTTGTAAGTAAACAACATTGAACACTGCTGTACATTGTATGTTGTAATACCACGTACACCTGTTATACATTGTTTTGCTTAATGCTGTAGTCTTCAAGAACCTATGGATAATGTTAAGTGAGCTACTGCTATACAAATAAAGACAGCCTGAGCCTTTCATTTTCAAATCACAAGTTGGGAAGCAGAAGAGCTCCTTTATTGACTGGACTTGGACAGAGAAAACAAAGGTCACTGGGAAGAGCGTTAACATAAGTTTTTCTCAAAATTAAAATTTTTCCTTTAATACACATTTATGCATTGTTTGCAAATTCCTCACTTAAAACAGTCAGTGGTGAAGAGTTTTTAAAAGTGATAGAACATATTCAACTATTTGAGAAAGTAATAAAGCTAACTGAATAGCATTACATAATGAAATTTAAACATTATTTAAAAGCATTTCAAATAACCATAGAGTTTCAAACGGCGTAGTTTATTCACATGTTAGTTATCATTTTAACATTTACAAACAATGGCACACTCTGACTGGTCTGCAGTGGAACAAGGGTGGTCTAAATGTCCTAAAGGAAAATGAAAAATTAAAGAACATTAATTTCTCATTATTATACGCAATTACATCCACATCACTTAGAAAGCTATTACTGATAATTGTCCAAGGAAGCAGAGTGGTACAGAGAAAGGAAACTTGAGGGTAAATTCAACAGTGACATAACTGAGATCTCAACATGAGAAAGCTGACAGAACATGAATTTTTGCTGTGAAATTTCTCTTTGCAAAATATGAAGAGAAGTCAGTCAATGGACAGTAAATAAGAGTCGGTGGTGAACTTTTGCTGTCAGTTCTCCTCACAGTATCTTGCAGAGGCATCAAGAAAATTGCTTAGTCCTTCTCTGGGACCAGTTTCAGAACTTTTCCAATTGCAATGGTCTTACCCTCATCTCTTAAAGTAAAACGACCCATCTGAGGAAAATCTTTGAACGTCTCAAGGCAGATGGTTCCTGCTGTCCTTAAACGGGCAATGCACACTTGATCTTGTTTCACGAAGCGGGGTCGTGTCTTACTTTTTTCTCCGGATTTTTTGTCTACCAAGGAGATTAAGGCTGTTATCTCCACTTCCTCAATACAAGTATGAATGTGCAGTACCGCATTATAACCTGGGCAGATGATGGATTTGTGCTCAATAATCACTATCTGAACATCAAACGTGCGTCCAGAATGGCAAAGGTTACTAGGATCACAAAGTATGAAGCCTGGAAGAATCTCTTCTTCTTCAATTCCCTTCAGTCTGATTTTGAGGTTTTCACCTGGGGCTACAAAATCAGTTTCAGTATCATCAGAAAGTATTCCGAGAACTTCTACATTGTGCTTGTTTGGCATCATCACAAGCTGCTGGCCTTTAAAAATGGACCCAGATTCCAGCTTTCCCAGGACCACAGTGCCCATATCCTTGTACTTATCCACAATTGGCAGTCTAATTGGTCCATCAATTGATCTGTTGAAGTTTGGCATGTTATCCAAATATGCAATAAATGGTAATCCAGTGTACCAAGGGCAGAAATCTGACTGCTCTTTAATATTTGCTCCAGTCAGTCCTGAGCAGGGCATAAAGTGAATGTCCTTTTTTGGACTGAAGCCGACTTTTTTCAAAAAGGGTACCAGTTTCTCTTTACATTCTTCATATCTCTCGATGCTCCAATTTACTGTGGGATCATCCATCTTATTAATAAGCACTACTAAATGTTTTACCCCTGCAGTTTTTGCCAACATCGCATGTTCTCTTGTCTGTCCACCTTTTTCAAATCCAGTTTCAAACTCTCCTTTCCTGGCAGAGATGACCAGCACAGCCAAGTCAGCTTGAGACGCACCACCAATCATATTTGGGACAAAACTCTTGTGGCCAGGGGCATCTAAAATTGTGAAATGTTTCCTTTCTGTTTCAAAATAGGCACGACCCACTTCGACTGTTTTACCCTTGTCTCGTTCTTCCTGATTTGTATCTAAGGCCCAGGACAAATACCAGGTTTCTCTGTTTTTCTCCTTAGCTTCTCTTTCATATTTCTCCAGTGTTCTTTTGTCAACCATTCCAGTCAAAAACATTATCTGTCCTCCGATGGTTGACTTGCCAGCATCTACATGGCCAATGAACACTACATTTACGTGTTCTTTCTTAGGAGCACCTGAGGGGACGATCACAGATTTGGATTTTCTGATTTCCTCTTTCTCCTCCATCATTTCCCGGCCACTTTCTTCTGGGGGCCCCGAATGTCCCGTGGAACCACCCCCAGGCTCGGCTTCACTTACTTCTTCGCTGTGCTCCCATGATTCTTCTAGGGCCATTTCCACCTCTCCATTTTCTACAACAGGTTCCGAAAGTTCCATGGTAACGGCCGGATTGGAACCTTCAAGCGACACTAACGGTTCCTCTCGGGAAGTTTCCACAGGTGCCCCCCGTCCCATCCTTTTACCTTGAGGGTATCCCGCGACGGTGCAGGTTTCAGCGTTGCGGCCGGAGCCGGCCGGCGGGGTGGGCGGCTGAGTCGGGCCCCGCAGGAAGGACGGCACGAACTCCGCGGCGTGTACGTTCGGCACGAAGGGCTTGGCGTTGACGTTGAGCTGACGGCTGAAAGCCGAGCTGAGGGGCTCGCGCCGGGCCTCGGCCACCGCGGACAAGACTCCATCCCCGCTCGACCCCGGGGCTTCCATGTCCACCTGGTCCCAGCAGTCGGGAGCCGAGTCGCTGCTGCTGCTGCCCGAATCCATGGTGTCAAGACTTGCTGTGTGGCAGCGAGGGAGCGGGCTCAACAGGCCAGAAAGAGCGGGCTCCGCCGGCGGGGTGAAGGCAGCAAGAGCGAGGGGCCAAGGGGTGGCGACGCGAACCTTAGCGGCACCGTGGAGGCAGCGAAGCGCCGATGCTGCATTCGCAACTGCGGCGGCAGCAGCAGATATGGCGGCTCAACACTCTCCTCTTGTGTGTGAGCCGATCTCCTCCCCCAAACCCCAACCACTTCCGACTCCGCCACCCCCGACCCAACGCCGGGGGTGGATTGACCCCTCGCTGCCATCCGTACGCTTGGCCTCCTTACTTCTCAGCCAGGGACTAAGTCCAAAAGAACTATTTTTTAAAACGAAAATTTCCCTTCACTTTTTTTCGTTCACACGATCTGCCAGAGCAATTTGACCAAAATCTGATGATTAAACCTAGACAGGCACACACGATTTACATGATTTACAATTCTACTAAAAAGATTCAACTAAAAGTGAACATGCCTATTGAACAAATGGGAGGCAGGATAAGGGTTAACTATACGGATAGCCAGAAACCCAGCGACTGAAGGGACAGATAAGGAATGACTAGGGAGGGACTCATGAAATATATGAGTTTGTAGCTGAACTTAGGAAATGCAACTTAAGATCACTCATTAATTTGAAATCCGCAGGCCTTTTGATTTTCCCTTTCCAGTGGGCCCCCATAAGCCTGCAACTTCTGCTGATTGCTTCTATAGTTTAAGGATAGGGTTACAACTTCTTTTCATGTGAAGCACGCTGGCTGTGTGGGGGGGAGAGAATTTCCAAGGAGGTCCTTGTTTCACTGAAGATTCTAGTCACTTCATATGCAGATGCCTCCACAATGGCTGGCCTGCCATTCAATGGTGGATCACACAGACAAGCACAGCACTCAGATCACCCTTGTTTTACCAACCAACTGCATTCTGGCTTTACCTCCGCTACTCACCAGCACCTCCCCAGAGTACGCCCTGCGTCCACAGGCCTCGGGTTTTCCTGCCTCATTTCGGGGGGCCTGGAACCCTACTCACTGCTGGTGCTGGCTTTGGTCTAAGAAACAATCAGTGTCCTGTTGAACCCCTCTTCAACTTATGGTAATGAGACAGGGATGTAGGAGTCAGCGTAATTAAACCAATTAGGACTTCTGAGACGAACAAACACCTTCAGACCCTAATCAAAAGAATCTCACTTTCAGAAAGTCTTAACAGTTGAGCCAAAGCCTCGGTGATCTTGTTTGTAAATTAATTTAGTGCAAACTGTGATAGAAAAAATAAACTTATTCCTCAGAATCTGCTTTTAGTCTTCATGTACTCAAATCTGCCACCTTTTCCTTGTATGAATTCAGGTTTTATGACACACCTAAAAAGATTGTTCAGTCCAAACAATCTGCTTAGTACAAGATGGTGTCCCATAGTTGGATATTAAATAAATCCAACAACCAAGCAAAATATTATAAAACCAAGTACCTCATTTATAACTTGAGAATTGTGTTCTCCAGACTTTAGGGATAAGAAAAAAAAGACAGATTTGTACCCTCGATGTTTTCTTTCTGGGGCTGCCACTATTTTACTAGTTCTGTATTGTTTCTAAACCCTTAGATACCAAATACCTTCATTCTTTTTGCCTCTGCTTATGGCTTCATTATTTGCAGTGACATAAAGAGAATGTGCACGGTTATTGACAATAAACAGGAAGAACTGAGAGGTGGAATGTGTACAGAGAACCTGGACAATACTCCACACAAGTGCTGGAGACTCCTTGGACATTCTGTGAAACTACAATGGACTGGGAGAACCTGTCAAGGTTTTGGCAGTCGTGTTCACATAAGGTCATTCATGCAGGGAAGCAGGGGACATCTAGGATTTTTCCTTCACCTGATCAAATGCATTGGTCATGAGCATATTGGCATGACTGCTACTTAGTGGTATCTCAGAAAACAGAGGATACTTCACTGTTAGAATCATAAAGGAGAAATGAGAAATAGTCTGTGAATGTCCTCCTAATCCATCATTGCTGGGGTTCCCAGGTCAATCCAAGAGAGAGACAGGAACTGACCGGATTGTTTCCAGAGAGATTGGCCTTGGACAAAAATCTTTTGGTTTGTGTGATGAGATGCTTGTCTCGAGTCTCTCTGCCTAAGAGTTCTTCAGTAAATGAGACAATTTTCCTCATCAAAGGCTTTAAAAAAGAGTGTAGGTAACATCTAACCATTGTTTAATTCAATGTTTCCTCCTTTAAAAAATACTTTTTTTTTTTTTTGAGACGGAGTGTCACTCGTTACCCAGGCTGGAGTGCAATGGCGCGATCTCGGCTCACCGCAACCTCCGCCTCCTGGGGTCAGGCAATTCTCCTGCCTCAGCCTCCTGAGTAGCTGGGATTACAGGCACGTGCCACCATGCCCAGCTAATTTTTTGTATTTTTAGTAGAGACGGGGTTTCACCTTGTTGACCAGGATGGTCTCGATCTCTCGACCTCGTGATCCACCCGCCTCGGCCTCCCAAAGTGCTGGGATTACAAGCTTGAGCCACCGTGCCCGGTCTAAAAATACTTTTTATTGTAAAATATAGCACAAACACAGAAAGTCACACTAAAAAATTACAGCTTTTTGACTTATGATAAGGGAAACACACTTGTAACAACCATCCAAGTTAATAGAAATTTGCCAGCCAACCCAGAAGGCCTACCTGTTCCCTGTTCAATCACAGATGACTTCCGCCACTTCTCAATGTAACTTCTATTGTGACATTTACTATAATAACCTATACAATTTTCTGAATAGTTTTATTATACAAATGTGTATACTCAGACACTACAGTTCAATTTGCCTTTTTTGATGTATTTTTTAAGTCTCTTTTAATCTATGAGTACCTAATTTATCCTCCCCATTTTCATGTCATTTATTTATTGAGGAAAGTGGATGATGTGACTGGTAGAGGTTTTTTCTTTTTTTCTTTTTTTTTTTTAAATTACACTTTAAGTTCCGTGGTACACGTGCAGATCGTGCAGGTTTGTTACATAGGTATACACGTGCCATGCTGGTGGTTTGCTGCATCCATCGCCCCATCATCCACATTAGTTATTTCTCCTAATGCTATCCCTCCCCAATCCCCCCACCTCCTGCTATTTCTCCCCTAGCCCCCCACCCCCCAGGCCCTGGTGTGTGATATTCCCCTCCCTGTGTCCATGTGTTCTCCTTGTTCAACACCCACTTATGAGTGAGAACATGTGATGTTTGGTTTTCTGTTCTTGTGTCAGTTTGCTGAGAATGATGGTTTCCAGTTTTATCCACGTTGTTGCAAAGGACACGGACTCATCTTTTTTATGGCTGTATAGTATTCCATGGTGTATATGTGCCACATTTTCCTTGTCCAGTCTATCATGGATGGGCATTTGGGTTGGTTCCAAGTCTTTGCTATTGTGAACAGTGCCACAATGAACATACATGTGCATGTGTCTTTATAATAGAATGATTTATGATCCTTTGGGTATATACCCAGTAATGCTGGGTCAAATGCTATTTCTATTTCTAGATCCTTGAGGAATCGCCATACTGTCTTCCACAGTGGTTGAATTAATTTATACTCCCACCAAAAATGTAAAAGCGCTCCTGTTTCTCCACATCCTCTCCAGCATCCATTGTCTCCTAATTTTTTAATGATAGCCATTCTAACTGTTCTGAGGTGGTATCTCAATGTGGTTTTGATTTATGTTTCTCTAATGACCAGTGATGATGATAAGCTTTTTTTCATATGTTTATTGGCTGCATAACTATCTTCTTTTGAAAAGTATCTGTTCAAGTCATTTGCCCACTTTTTGATGGGGTTGTTTGTTTTTTTCTTGTAAATTTGTTTAAGTTCTCTGTAGATTCTGGATATCAGGCCACTGGCAGATAGGTAGATTGCAAAAATTTTTCCCATTCTGTTGGTTACCAGTTCATTCTATTTATAGTTTCTTTGGCTATGCAGAAGCTGTTAAGTTTAATTAGATCCCATTTGTCTATTTTGGCTTTTGTTGCCTTTGCTTTTGGTGATTTAGTCGTGAAATCCTTGCCCATGCCTATGTCTTGAACGGTAGTGCTTAGGTTTTGTTCTAGAGCTTTTATGGTGTTAGGTCTTATGTGTAAATCTTTAATCCATCTGGAGTTAATTTTTGTGTAAGGTGTAAGGAAGGGGTCCAGTTTCAGCTTTCTGCATGTGGCTAGCCAGTTTTCCCAACACCATTTATTAAATAGGGAATCCTTTCCATATTGCTTGTTTTTGCCAGGTTTGTCAAAGATCAGATGGTGGGTAGCTGTGTGGCGTTCTTTCTGAGGCCTCTATTCTGTTCCATTGTTCTATGTCTCTGTTTTGGTACCAGTTCCATGCTGTTTTGATTACAGTAGCCTTGTAATATAGTTTGAAGTCAGGTAGAGTGATGCCTCCACGTTTGCTTTTTTTTTTTTTTTTCCTTAAGATTTTCTTGGCCGGGCGTGGTGGCTAACGCCTATAATCCCAGCACTTTGGGAGGCCGAGGCGGGTGGATCACGAGGTCAAGAGATCAAGACAATCCTGGTCAACATGGTGAAACCCCGTCTCTACTAAAAATACAAAAATTAGCTGGGCATGGTGGCGTGTGCCTGTAGTCCCAGCTACCTGGGAGGCTGAGGCAGGAGAATTGCTTAAACCCAGGAGGTGGAGGTTGTGGTGAGCTGAGATTGTGCCATTGCACTCCAGCCTGGGTAACGAGAGCGAAACTCAGTCTCAAAAGAAAAAAAAAAAAGATTTTCTTGGCTATGCAGGCTCTTTTTTGATTCCATATGAAATTTAAGGGTTTTATTTTTTTTTTCAATTATGTGAAGAAAGTCAATGATAGCTTCCTGGGGATGGAATTGGATCTATAAATTACTTTGGGTGGTATGGCCATTTTCACGATATTAATTCTTCCTAACCATGAGCATGGAATGTTTTTCCATCTGTTAGCTCCCTCTCTTATTTCCTTGAGCAGTGCTTTGTAGTTTTCCTTGAAGAGGTCCTTTGCATCCTTTTTTGTTTTTTTCATTCTCGGCTTTGCTGACTGTATCCCTATGGTAGAGTTTACAATGTTCCTTTGTTCTCAGTATTTCCAGTTTATCGATAATTATCTTTTAGCTTGACCAGATTCTGATACAAATTTTTTCTTTAAAAAATTTTATTTTTTTTTTAGACAGGGTTTCACCGTGTTTCCGAGGCTGGTTT